GCACCACTTTCTTTAGCCGTTTCTTTCTTTACATTCTGTTGGAGGTAGGATTTTGAAATGTTGAGGATAGGTGGGCCCCATGGATTATCTCAATGCTCCAGGAGTGCCATTGTTGCCTGCCACCCCCTTGCGGTATCGGCGACCCCTTGAATGCTAGGGGGTCGAAAAACCGAAAAAAAGGCTCTAAATTCGACAGAAAAAAAGAAAAAATCCGAAATTTTTTTACAGAATGAGGTTCTTTAGGTTGCGGCTTTTCCGAAAATGCCCCCTTTCCGAGGAGGGTTCAAACTTCGTGAGAGGCCAATCCACGGGATGTCAACTGCCTCCAATAAGTCGTGGCTGCTAGGTGAACTTGGGGTTGAAAATCTCAAAATTTCCACTTTTTTGCATATCGCGCGAGAACGGTTCGAGTAATTGACTTGAAAATTTGTACAGAAATACTCCAATGATCCTTCAATCGATCGCATGCACCCAGTTTACCCGCCCACCCCCGGGGATGGATTGAGAGGGTTGGAAGTAGAAACTCCCTCAGCGGGGGTTGGTTTCAAACCAGGCCTAAACCATCAACAGGAACGATACCGTTGGCACGGAAACAAGTTTTTCCGTGAACCGCAGGTCCAAAATTGACTTTTAATTGAGAAAAAAATTAAAAAACAGCAAGGGGTGGTTATTTGACAGCGTGTAGCGACCAAGGGGTTGGTGCAAACGCGACCAAACTTTTACCAGGTATAACTGGGGTCGAGAGGAAGCTTCGGTAAAAGTTTGAGCAAAATCGAAAAAACCGCCTCTTTGGGAGGAGCGGAAAATTAGGGAGGGGGTTGGGGGTGTTAAAGGCGGTTGAGCCGGGCATTTTCGGAAAGGCCGCAACCTAAAGAACCTCATTCTGTAAAAAAATTTCGGATTTTTTCTTTTTTTCTGTCAAATTTAGTGCCTTTTTTTCGGTTTTCCGACCCCCTAGCATTCAAGGGGTCGCCGATACCGCAAGGGGGTGGCAGGCAACAATGACACTCCTGGAGCATTGAGATAACCCATGGGCCCAACTATCCTCAAAATTTCAAAGTCCTACCTCCAACAGAACGTAAAGAAAGAAACGGCTAAAGAAAGTGGTGCATTAATTTTGGCCAGCAGTGTAGTTCTTCATTTTCTTATAAGGTATTTGTAATAGTAATTTCCGGAATACATATTCTTCAAGTATATTTTGTAGAGTAATGATTTTCGTATATTCTTTTCTTTTTCAACTTTTCAACATCATAAAATTGATGCAAATATTTCAAAAGACAACAGTGAAATAGAACAAGGAAACAAACATAAAAAATGGAGAAATTTCGCTCATATTGTAATAAAAATGGCCTGCATACGCACTTGCCTCGTTTACTTACCCCACTTCATCTTAACAGTTTTGTTGCGTTTCAATTGCAGACTTATAGCGCAAAGTTCTGGGTTGATGCACATGGAGCACTAACTCAAGTTTGGAATAAAGTTCGAACAAATGTTTAATCATTTACTTTATTGTGTGATAACAAAATGAATACCTGCTAATTAGATTTAAAAAGGTTAGGTTACTTATTCTCACAAATACTCTTAGATGTCCCTTCCAAGTTTTCCTTGAGCCAATTAGAGTTTACATATACCATCCATTGATAATTTTTAATTGTCAATTCACCTCCAAACAAGGCAACCCTTAAAATAAGTTACTATCTTCGGAAAGAAAGTTAATGGATTTTTAAAACGATTCACCGTAAGAGTTTCGTTGGGTTCACAGGTTTTCACGAAATTTAACCAAAGCTGCTAATTCGATACGGCTCGCAATAAATAACTCTTGTATTTTCAGAAAATCCTCTTCCTTCTTGAGCTCCGGTCTTCCCTTTACTTGATCACCTATGTAGAATATTTTTAACAATGGCATTGATAGACGACATGTAGATTAGATCGTTTTGAATTTCAGCTCTCATTATAAATATCGGTATCTATTGTTGGATATAATAACATGTAAGCTGTCTATAATTCAGTTTATAAAATTAGGTTTACGTGATAGTCACCAGACTACTGCATTGCACTTTTTACTTCAAAATAGTTCTCGGGGGAAACTACTTGAACTACCAGTGTCAATACTGTATTATGATATCAATGAGATATGTACACAAGAACTTTCTCATATATGTAAGAATAGAATTTTATAAACTATCCTTCCTTTATTAAGAGAATGCAACAGAGAACACAACAAGAACAAATAATGATTAACGTATTCAACTATAAATTATAAATCGTAAATCGTAAAGTCAAATAATTCGTATTTTGCCGTTTCATCACGTTATGTTCGTTCAAATCCCGTGTTTATACTAAATCCCTATCATTACTTTTTTCCCAATCGCCAGTAACCAATTCACATAGCATTTCACGCTTTAACATTCATGACCTATTTCATACATTATTTACACAACCTATTTCACATTGTTCCTTTCATTAAGTCAACATTCATACACACAGTCATACACGCAGTTTAGCAGTGGTTGCCATTTTATATATGTACATTCTACATTCCTACATACAGATATTATATATTTTACATACGAGGTCTGTCCCAAAAGTATCCGACCTTCCTTCATATTTCCCTGCTGGTGTTATCCTAAGTCTTCGGGCTGGTGGCATCCTTCGAAGTAGTCTTCATTTGATTGTATAATATGCTGCCAACGACCTTTTCACTGATAGAAACAGTCCTGGAAGTCGTTTTTCGAAATAGCCTTTAGAGCGTT